AACACTTAAGGAACGCGGAGCCCCTCCCAACGAAAAGGGTTCCTTCTTCAACGCCCTGGCTGTATCCATATCCACCGCCTGGGAGCCGACGTCCTAGGGACCCAGCAGGCAGTGGATTGGGGATGGGCGGCGGGCGTCCTGGATGCGGTGCTGCAGCGACGCCTGCGACTTCGCGGCCGCGTCCCCGCACGCGCGGTGGGACCGCCGCATGAGCGCGTCGCTCTCGGTGCAGAGGCGCAGGCTGTCCTGAAGATCCAGGAAATAGGGGGAAAACAAACCTACCTCGCTTTTGACCACCCTTGCTTCCAAGAGATACCAAACGATGCCAAATTGCAGCCTGTACTGGTCAGGCCGTTTGACGAGGAGGCGCGTGGTATGGCTTGGTTTTGCCTGGAAGCGAAAGCGGGGTAAGTAATTCACGCTCTGAAGAAAGGCAGATCGATAAATCCGGTGCACCTCAAGAGATCTGTGCATCTTCAACGACAGCAACCGCGCAAGGCAGATCGACAGGTCCGCTGCCGCCCCTCATGAGCGCGGCCCCGATCGTGCGATCCGCTGGCACGAGCACAGGGGGACGCGTGCGCTGCAGGGCGAAGACGAGCGCGACGCACGCACTGCGAGGCTGACCCCGAGGAGGACAATGACGAGGGCGTCACAGTGACAAGCACGACGGATATCTGCTCCGTGCCCCGAGATCCCGGCGTCGCCACTTTTTCACAGCGTGCGCGTTCGCCCGGGTGCGGGCCCCAGGGCCCTCACGGACCGATCCGGCTCGCAACACGCAGAAGCAAGCTGGGTCTGGGGCTGCCGTCGTGATGCTTCGCGCTGCTGCACTTTGTCTTCGCGACCTCGGATCTCGAGGGTGATTCGGCAGCCTCGAGGGGGGCCGCTTCTGGCCCCTGGAGACATCAAGCGGCAGACCGCGGCGCAAAGCCGGCCCTGGAGATGGGGTCGCCAGGCTCGGGGGTAACGTGCTGAAACGGTCGCAACCTCGGAGGTCTGGGGAGGGGCAGGCTCGTGTGGTGCCGACTTCGGCGTTGGCTCCTGACACGCGGGGATCGTTCAACCATGAACGATCGGCCGTGAACCGAAACGACAGAACGTTCGACATCGACAGATTCTGGGTCGCTGGCAGCGCTCAACGTTGAACGCGGGCGGCGGGGTCGCCGCCGGTCGAGACGACGCGAACCTACCATGAGTAGCCGAACGTCAAGCCGCCGTGACGACAACGTCCTCCAGGCCCCCCTGCGGAGCCTCCGGCCTGCGCGGAGCACGTTGCCTCAGCAAGCCAGATGCATGCTCGAACGCCTCCTGCAGGCCTGCCTCCAGTGAGGCTCTGTGCTCTGAGGCCCTCCTGCAAGATGATCACTGCTGAGGCCAGCTGTGCATGCACGTACTACGCCAACGTGTCTGCCACCGTGGTGTGCCACGGCTCGTGGGCTGGCCAAACCGTTCCTTTCCCGAGGTTTGCTCCTTGCGGAGCGACGGTGGGCGCCCCATCACCGAATCGACGCTTGTCGAGGCATCCGAGGTCTTGCAGCTATTGAGGCGGATCTGGGGGCCTCTTCTGGGCCCATGGACCATCACAAAGCAACCTGGGACGAAAATCCAGCCACTCCGAAGAGGTCAGGACCTGTGCTGTGGGCCCCGAATCGAAAAAGACGTGCCGTCCGAGGGTCAGGACACTCGCACCCCTTGAGCGCTTGGCACTCCCAGAGCACGGCTCACCCTGGTCCCGTTCGTGGAACCGCCTTCCCTCGCCCTGGCCTGTCCTCCTCCTCCTCCTCCTCCTCCTCCTCCTCCTCCTCCTCCTCCTCCTCCCCTTTCCCTCCTCCTCCTCCTCCTCCTCCTCCTCCTCCTCCTCCTCCTCCTCCTCCTCCTCCTTCTCCTTCTCCTCCTCCTCCCCTTCTCGGCGCGGCGGCGGACACGGTTGACTCCTCCGACGCGGGCTTCCGACACCGCGTGGAACTTGCAACCTGAACCTGAGACGACCGGGGCTCCCCTCGGGACTACGCAGCGCCCCTCGGGGGCTCTCCCTGGACCCTCGGTGGCATTTCGGGCTTTCCTGCGACAGCGACGACGACGACGACGACGACGACGACGACAACGACGACGACGACGACGACGACGGCGACGGCGACGGCGACGGGCGACGACGTCGACGACGACGACCACCACCAACACCACCACGACGACGACGACGACTACGGCGACGGCGACACCACCACCACCACCACAACGACGACGACGACGACGACGACGACGACGACGACGACGACGACGACGTCGAAAACAACGGCGGCGGCGGTGACGACGCCCCGTCGACGCCGGCGCCGGCGCCGGCGCCAGCGCCGCAGCCGCCGCCGCCGCCGTCGTCGTCGTCGTCGCCGTCGTCGTCGTCGTCGTTGTCGTCGTCGTCGTCGTCGTCGTCGTCGCCGTCGTCGCCGTCGTCGTCGCCGTCGACGGCGGCGTCCTCCTCTGCTCGCACGGCCCTCGCCAGCAGCGCGCCCTCGCCCCCACCCGCCGCCGGCCCGCCGCGGGCCGAGGCGGGCTGCCTCCGCTCGGCGGCCTCCGCGCGGCGCTCGCAGAGGGGGCCGCGCGCTGCCGCTCGGCCGGCCGCCCGCCCGAGCAAATCCGTCGGCTGGTCGATCGGCCGACCGACCGATCGGCCCTCGGCCCTCCCCAGCCTCGAGCCTCGCTCCTCGAGCCTCGAGCCTCGAGCCTCGGACCCCTCGAGCCCCTTGAGCCTCGAGCCCCCCTCGAGCTTCTCGGTCTTAGGTGCTCTCCAGCCTCGAGCGTCGAGTCTCGAGCCTCGAGCCTCGGACTCCTCGAGCCCCTCGAGCCTCGAGCCCCACTCGAGCCTCTCGGTCCTAGGTGGGCCCCGGCAGCCGAGGGGACGCCGCTGGGTCTCGGCAGGAGGAGGAGGAGGAGGAGGAGGAGAAGAAGGAGGAGGAGGGAAAGGGGAGGAGGAGGAGGAGGAGGGAGGAGAAGGAGGGGGAGGAGGAGGAGGAGGAGAGAGGAGGAGGAGGAGGAGGAGGAGGAGGAGGAGGAGGAGGGAGGAGGAGGAGGAGGAGGAGGAGGAGGAGGGAGGAGGGGGAGGAGGCGCATCTCCAGCCTCGAGCGTCGGGCCTCAAGCCTCGGGCCGTCGGCCCTCCGGCCTCGGGCCCCGGGTTTCCTCGAGCCTCGCTCGCCGAGCCTCGAGCACCTCCGAGCGCCTCGGGGCCCCCGGGCGGGCGCGGGAAGCCTGCCGGGCTCCCACCCCGCGGGGCTGCACATCGGGCGTGGGTCGCCCTGCGCCGCCGATCGACGAGCGCGCTTCTTTATTTTCGGCGATCACGGGCATTGAAGGGGGGGGCAGGGGCAGGCCGGGGGGGTATAATGTAACGCCTCCCCCCCGCCGAGTGCCCGATGCGCACGGCGGCAGTGCCCAGAGCGCACTGGGAGGGGAGGGGCGTTACGTTATGGGGGGGGAGGGGGAGAGGGGGCTATGATGCCCAGTATGCCCCAAGCAATACAGAAACACGCTCGACCGAGGTCGATCGATCGAGGAAGGTCTCGGGGGCTCTAGGGCGGAGGATTGAGGATCGATCCGAGAATCGGCCTGGGGTCGCCTGCGGCCGAACCCTCTGGGCGCCCATCTCCAGAAGCGGCACGGCTCCTGAGAACGCCCTCGGCACGACGCCAGAGCAGGCAGCACGCGGGCCGCTCCGAACAATCGAATGCACTGAGACGGCGCATGCTTTCGTGTGTAAAGGACTGCTGGCCAGTGCAACACTCAGTGCACACACTGCAGCCAGTCTGTTTTGAAAAGTCGGCCTACCGTTGCGCACGCAGGTGGGTGGGAATGCGACGTGCTTCGAGGATCGATCGAAGATCGAGGGCGCGTTCGGGGGATCGGAGATCGAGGACCGATCGAGGGTCGATGCCAAGATCGGGGACCGAGGCTCTCGATTGATCAATTGGTCGCCGCTCGCTGCCGATCGACCGATCAAGGGGATCGAGGATCGACACTCAGAGCTGCGCTTCGTGAACAAAAATCGCGACGGTCGGTTGTTCTGCGTTTGCCCCAGGACTGTCAACAAACCTGCTCAGGATGACAAGACGGCCTCAGGGAACGGGGTCGAGATCCCCAGGGGCCGACACCACGAACAAACTGATACCCCCTCCCCCTCCATCCCCCTTTCGCCCCCAGACATCCGACGTCGCGATTGGTTCACAGCGTGGCTCCCCGACAAAAATTTGAACCCTCTCTCCGGGACCAGTTTTTCAGCCCAGGTCGTTCTGTCGCAGCCCCCAGAGGCCGAGAGGGGCCGACGGCCTCCCGCCCTGACCTGTGCCACGACGCCAGGGGGTCTGAGCTCCTCCCGTCCCCATGCAGAACATAAGGAGCTCCCACGAAGGCCCCAGTGGCTGTGACCACATGCGCCCCCGCCACCCATGTCGGCACACCCCTCACACGCTTCGTGGGCCCCACAGGGAGCTCCACCGAAGAGGCTACGCACCACTGCGGCACTGCTCAACTGCACATGGCTGGGCCATCCCCTGCAGGATATGAGGAAGAGGGGGGGAGGAGGAGGAGGAGGAGGAGGAGGAGGAGGAGGAGGAGGAGGAGGAGGAGGAGGAGTAGGAGGAGGAGGAGGAAAGGGGAGGAGAAGGAGGAGGAGAGAGGAGAGGAGGAGGAGCAGGAGGAGGAGGAGGAGGCAGCGGCGGTGGCGGCGGAGGAGGAGGAGGAGGGAGGGGAGGAGGAGGATGAGGAGGAGGAGGAGGAGGTGGAGGAGGAGGAGGAGGAGGAGGTGGAGGAGGTGTGAGGGGGGGCGCGCAGACGGCGCGCCTGGATGGAGGGCAGCACCACCCGCTGCTGCTCCTGCCTGGACGGCGAGCTGGGGAGCGAACGCCGCGCCGCCTTGTTGTCAGCCGGCGGCGAGCACAAGAAGGGTGGCAGGGCGAGGGCTCCGATGCAGTGTGCCGCGCTGGCGGCCAGCGAACAGTGGAGGCCAGTCCACAAGAAACCTTCCGCAAGAAGCCCAACCCTGAGACCCCAGGACGCCCTTTGATTTTCGGCGTGGGAACGTCACGCTTCCCGTGGCAAGGCCATCGAAACCCAAGACACCCGGGGCACCCTGGAGGCAAGCAGGGTGTTTCTTGGCATGGGTCTCCCCTGTAAGCCACCGCGCGAGGTCGCTATGCGCCCACGATCTCTGTCCACTTCCGCCTAGATGCTGGCCCTGAGCTTCCTCAAATAACATCGAAGCGACATGAGCATAAATCCTCATGAGGGGTGTGCCGAAATGGCCCGAGGCCGCCATGCGAACCCTGCCACTGGGGCCTTCGGTGGAGCTCCCCACAGGGCCACGATCCTCGTGAGGGGTGTGCCGAAATGGCCCGAGGCCGCCATGCGAACCCTGCCACTGGCGCCTTCGGTGGAGCTCCCTATGGGGCCACGATCCTCGTGAGGGGTGTGCCGAAATGGCCCGAGGCCGCCATGCGAACCCTGCCACTGGCGCCTTCGGTGGAGCTCCCTATGGGGCCACGATCCTCGTCAGGGGTGCGCCGAAATGGCCCGAGGCCGCCATGCGAACCCTGCCACTGGGGCCTTCGGTGGAGCTCCCTACAGGGCCACGAAAGGTGTGAGCGGTGTGCCGAAATGGGTGTGCGGGACGCATGCGGGCGGCAACACTGAGGCCTTCGGTGGAGCTCCCTATGGGGGCACGAAACGTGTGAGGGGTGTGCCGAAGTGGGTGTGCGGGACGCATGCAGGCGGCAACACTGAGGCCTTCGGTGGAGCTCCCCATGGGGCCACGAAACGTGTGAGGAATGTGCCGAAATGGGTGGTGATGATGGTGACGATGACGCTGGCGCTGGCGATGAAGATAAGATGGTGATGACGAATACGAAGACAACGATGATGGTGATGATGACGATGATGGTTACGATGATGACGGTGATGATGAGAATGATGATGACGATACTGATGATGATGAGAAGAGGAGGGAGGAGGCAGCGGGAGGAAGGAAGGAGTGACGCGGGGCGCTGTCTCTTCAAAACGAAGACCCAACACCACAGGATGGTTGGGAACAAATCCGGCCAACGACGGTGGATCGCGCTCCCTCGAATAATAACTTTGCCCACCTGGGAAGCTCGAAGAATTTCACCATCACCGAGATCGGGATCATCTTCCCTCGGCGGAGGCACGCTGCCGATGATGGTTTTGGTACCAACCTCTATAGGCTTCCAACGCTGGCATCAATAACCGTCCTTTGCGTCGGCCGGCGCACAGCTGCTCGGCCGAGTGCCGGTCTCCCTCGTTCCTGCCGCGTCCCTTGCCCCTCCTGGCTCCGGGGCCGCCCAAGCCGACGGCAGAACTCAGAGCCGATCTAGCCAAACGACGAAACCGCAACAGAGCCCAGAAATCCGGAGCAGCGGCGCAAAAGCCGACCGGACAGAGCCGAACGAGCGCAACCGACTGAGACGAAGCCGGGTCGACCGAACCGTGGACACCCTTTTTAGGGGAACGAACTCTATACACTGACGTTTCTTTTCCGATCCTGCGCTGAAATTCGCACAGGAACGCGGATCCTGGTGTATACGGGATCCTGGTGTATACGTTTTTCGTCGTTCCCCTTGGAAAGCAGGGGAATGTATACACCACACCACCCCGACGTCGTCCCCGACCCTCCAAAAGTCGTGGGATCGAAAAAGCAACCCGCCACTGGTAATGAATAATGTCCAGTTTCCGACTTGTGCTCTCCAAACTTTTACGTCGCAGCGCAGCAGAGGCAGCCCGCACGCGCGCTCAGGCGGTCCAGGCAATGGAAGGCGCAAGTCGACCGGCGGCAGGAGGAGGGAAAGTCGGGCGAAAGCGGCCGCGAGGGAGGAGGGAGGGAGGGGAGGGCACTCACATGGCGAGGTGCGTCGCCGTGGAACGGCCGGGGCAGCCAGCCTTGCTCCCCCAGTACCCAGCGTGTTGAAGACTTGTTTGGTCAGCGGCGACGGCGAACGCCAACGCGGTCGGTCAGCCGGCGGGCCGCACCAGGCAGAGGCACACCAGACAAGTGGAGAAGGAGGGCGGCCGCGGAGGGGGAAGCGTGGGCGGAGGCCTCCGGCGTAGAGAACCAATCTTCGCCACGAGCAGTGCGCAAGCGACCTCAGGCACTGAAGACCGGTGTGCGGAAAGGTGAGCGAGCAGCGCGAGCTGCCGAGGAAGCAGAGGACAGCGTAGGACCCACTGGAGAGGTTTAAGACTTGAAAAACACGGCAGAAGCTCTTCGCCATGTTCGGCCTCATGGGGGCCCTCGCCAGGCCCCAGAGAGCAGTCCACACCCGTGCTCAGGTTGGAGAGCCAGCCCCGCGGGCAGGGTCGGAGCCTCTTGGAAACCCGCATTGGAAAAAGAACAAGGACCTCGGATCTCCGGGCTTCCAGGAACGACTGCCTACCAGACCACCCCATTCTAACCCGAAGACCCACATTTCGGGTTTGGGGGGAGTATGGGTTTCACCTGTGTTTTTTCACGATGCCGGAGAAAAAAAACAATCAGGGCTATAGGGCTAGGGGGCTATAGAGCGATAGGGCTATTGAGCTATAGGGCTATAGAGCTACAGGGCTATAGAGCTGTAGGGCTATAGGGCTATAGGGCACCCCCGGGCACGCGCGGGCACCCGGGCACCCCCTGGCACCCCCGGGCACCCCCGGGCACCCCCGGGCACCCGGGCGTGCGGCGAAAATCGGCGGCAAACCTAACCTGACCATATGAATCCGCTAGGACCCCTGCAGAGGCAAGCTCTGATTAGGGAAATGTTCCCGGACGCCCCCCCCCCAGTGGAAATGGAGGGCTCATTGGAGCCTTCGGGTTGGGTTGGGGTGGTCTGGAAGGTGGTGAAGGATGGAAACGGATCCTGAGGGAATCACGTCCTGGACTCAGGACCTTGCCCCAGGACCAGGTTCTCATCCCGAGGCCCCAGAAGGGCCCTGGGAGCCCGAAAACCGCCAGAGACCTGGGACCCGCTTCCCTCGGGACCCGTCCACAGAGATCCGATGCCTTGATCTGTCCACCGTGGGCTACTAGGAAGTCCCGACCCTCTGTGACGGTTCTGGGGCCCGGCGAGGGGCCACAGAAACGGCGCAGAGCCTCCGCCTCGATCTTGCTCTGCATGTCGAGTGCGCGTGGAAAGATTACCAAAGTGTTGCTTGGTTATTTCCGGTAGCGGTCGTTACCATGGGCGGGGGTTGGGACCCTGGAGGACGTCAACGCTTGAGCGTGGTGGGGCACGCCGAGACGGGGGGGGCACCGCGATCGCCACAGTACGCGCGCGAGCACCAGCATGTGGGAGGGGGGGACGGGGTCCAGGCCACCCCTTAGAACGATCGCTACTCCAGATTTCGTAATAAAAGGGAGGGGGTCACAACCCTCCCAGACGAGAGGTTTTAGACCCCCCAGACTATCCATGAAAGGGCGGCCCTTTGCCCAAACCCCCCCGAACCCTCCAAGACAGCTCAAATTAGACCCCCCCCCGAATGTGACCCCCACACTTTGTTATGGAATCCGAAGTACCGTTACCAAGGGGGGTGTTTGGCCCGGGCGGCGACCGCTGCGCGCCAGAGGAGAAATAGCGAAAGACAATCTCCTGGAGAAGGACGACGGGGAGGGGGGGGGCAGTAGAAGCCTCCTGGATGAGGTAGGAGTAGATTGGGTCGGAGGATCGCGCCGCATCGCCGATACATCGCGGATACATCGGCGATACATCGCCAATGCATCGGCGATGCATCGGGAACATCGGCGATGCATCGGCGACGCCAAAGTGGAGAAAATCAGGCTCCACATCGAGCCGCATCGCCGATGCATCGTCGATGCGGCGCGATCCTCCGACCCCACCTACTCGGACCACATCTAGGAGGCCTAGAGGCAGGAGGATGCCCACGGTTCGGTCGACCCGGCTGCGTCGCAATCGGTGGCGCTCGCTCGGCCTGGTTCGACCGGCCGCTTGCCGCCGGCCGCCTGGGGCCAGCCAGTCTCGGCGTCGCTGTCGGCCCACATGACTCAGAATACAGCACGGCAACTGCTGCAGGCTGCGATAGCAACAGCATGCATACTCGCGCGAATGGTCATGCACAGCAGAGCTGTCAGAAAACGCACCTGGGCGACGACGAAAAACGGGCCTCACGCGAGATGGCACGACGACCTCACGCGGCAGCCGACGCGGGCCGCCCGCGCGGCACGCCACGCTGGAGACGAGGGCACTCGCGCGCGACCTCACGCGGGCAGCCGACGCGCCGGCGTCGGCGCAGACGACCCCGTTTTCCTGCGTCGCTCAGCTGACTACCTGCCAGACCACCCCAACCCAACCCGAAGACCCGAATTTCGGGCTGGGGGGGGGGTAAGGGTTCCACGTGTGTTTTTCCTATGTCTCCTGACCCCCCCCCCACTGGAACTCGAGAGTAACTCTGAGCCTCCGGGTCGGGTTGGGGTGGTTTGGTGGGTAGGGATCAGCTGGAACTCCCTGCGGCATGCAAGAACAACAAAAAAAACACAGAGCGGGGTGCGCCGGCGGAGCCCTGCGCGCCGCCGCGAGGGCCCCGGGCAGGCTGCGCCGCCCGGCGGGGGGGGGGGGAAAGAGAGCCCTGACCGTCCAGGAGGGCTAAAAAATAGCACGCGACTTAAAAACCTATCCCAGAGCTATTATATGTCTTGGTTTTAGGCTGTTTCGTTTTGTTCTTTAGGTTTTTAGGCCTCCCGTGCTAGAAAATAGCTCTCTGGAAGGTCAGGGAGGAGGGGAGAGGCAGGCAGACGACGACGAACGCGCAGGGGCGGGAGGCCAGGGCCGGCAGGGCGGGCGGGCGGGCAGGCGGAAGGTGGGGCCGGGCGGAGGCAGCAGGCGGGGAGCAGGAGGAAAGGGAGGAGAGGCAGGGAAGAGGAGGAGCGGCAAGGAGGCAAGAGGCAAGGAAGAGAGGGAGAGGAGGGGAGGCAAGGAAGCAAGAGGAAATGGAGGAAGGCAAGGAAGCTAGAGGAAAGGGAGGAAGGCAAGGAAGGCAAGGAAGCAACCGCAGGCAAGCAGGCCAGGCCAAGGGCAGGGACGGCTCTCGGCTTGGCCGCCGCCGTGGGCAGCCTTGTATAGCAGGGGCGAGAGACCCAGGCGTCCGGCGCCGCTTCTCGTCCCGGGTCGTGCTCTGACGAGGCGAGGGCGGCACCGTATAGGAGCCCTTTCGTCGCCACCTTGTTCAGGGGCACATTCGGTGGGCCAATCTTTTCCTGGAAATGCCTGGAGTCTCGCCAAACGGCCCGCTCGCCGACGGCGAGTGGAAAGATGTGCGGGCGAACCTGAGCCTCCTTAAATACGCAAATGATGTCTGGAATTTCATGGTGGCTTCTCGCTTTCAAAGGATTTCGGAGCCGGGGCCCAATGAAGGCCCCGAAGAGCCGCAAACTATGGAAAACCCTCGTCTCGATTTGTCCGTGGCGCCGGAGGCCTGGGGAGAGAATCGGGAACGCACTGGCCCGGGTCAATCCAGGCCCGGATCAGTCGGGCTTTGCAGGACCCTGCAAACTCCTGCGGTGTCCTGCGCGCTAGCCCGGGTCAGTGCAACCCTGGCTCTGCAGGATACCATAAGATCTGGCGCTCTGGCTGCCCCGTTTGCAGTGATCCCCGCCTCAAGGCTCTCGGGAGAAAGAGAGAAAGAGAGAGGCCCGGCAGGGGCGGATGAGGCGGGCCCGCTCGGCCGCGGGGTGTGTCTGCCGCCCCCGAGCTGGACTGGAGACCGCCAAAGACCGCCAGTATAGGACCTGTTTCCCTCAAGGCCCGGGATAACGTTTACAATACGCCAAGGTTTGGGATAACGTTTACAATACGGTTGTAGGTATTGTGCTCTCGGGGAACCTCCCTCTAGCAGAAATGTTGGTTGCAGGCCATGTCTAGCGTTTTCCAACCAAGCTAGAGCTCGAATCTTAAAGAAGTCCCATCACGCAAGCGACTTGGAGGGCAAGGCCCGCCTCCGCAGAAATGGGGCACAGAAGGACATACAGTCGGACTTGATTGGACAGGACACGCGAGAGGACACGAGACTCTTCCGACGGCGACGTGGCCCCAGAACGCCAAGAGACATGCGGGTTGCGTAGGTCGGGAGAGACACGGCACAAGAGTACCCTCGATCTGGCATGGTCGACCTGCTGATCAAGCTCGACTGTACTAACACTAAGTGGTTATATTGGAGGGGCGCGCCCGAACCGAGCACATAGTACAAAATTGAACACAGTGCGCGGGTGCGGCCGCAAGAAACCCTTGCAAGAAACCTAGCCCTGAAGACCCGCGCAAGAGGTGCGACTCGGGGGAAGCCCAGGGCACCCTGAGCGCAGTAGCTTCTTCAACGGCCGCGGGGAGTCACAGCGCAGCGCGAGGAGCGGAGAAACCCAGGGAAAGCAGACGGCTTCTTGATGCGCGCCCCCACTGCAGCAGATCGTCTCCCGAGCGGGTTGGCCAGACAGCGCCTGCCGCGGAGCTTACGCCACAGGATCTCCGAGCGTGCGCGTCGGCCGCGCCCGGGCCGACGCACACATGGTACGCAGCACCCCGCAGTTGCCGATGAGAGTGGGGGCGGGCGCGGGTTGGGCCGCGGGTGGGTCGCGAGGTGGGTCGTGGGTGGGTCGCGGGGTGGGTCGCGGGGTGGGTCGCTGGGTGGGTCGCGCGTGGGTCGCGGGGGGGTCGCGGGCCACGACGACGACGACGACGACGACGACGACGACGACGACAACCAGTTTAAGACTGTGCGGTTCTATCTGCTCCTTGGCAATTCAACCCTCATGTCCCGCACCCTCGCTACCCGCCCTCTTCGTTTTCGATCGCACCCCCCTTGGGGGCATATCTTTCTTACCTGCCACGTGACTGTAACAGGAGGAGAGGACGCCTGGAAGGGGGAAGGCGAAGGATGAAGCCCGAGAGAAATTAGCAGTACGGGGGCCAAAAGAAGGAAACCCGTGGCAGAACCAGGCGGGCAGATCAGGCGGGCAGACCCTAACGGGCGGGTCGAGAAGGCGGGCCCAGGCGGCCAGGTCGAGCAGGCGGGTTGCTGAAGCGTGCGTCCTACATGAACCGCGAGGAGGTCTCGAGCGATAGCGCGAGTCCTAAATAAATCGTGAGAATAGCCAGAGCGAGAGCGTGATTCCTGAGTGTCGAGGGCGCGGCGTCTGAAAAAATAATGAGGAAGTCCCACGCGAGAGCGCGAATCCTGTATAAACAGACGTCGCGCGCGACAGCGCGATTTGGGAATACATTGCGAGGAAATATCAAGCGGGAGTCGTTGATGTTGTTTTTTCGGGGCCCAACAGCCCAGCGTGGTGACAACCAACTCTCCCTTGTAAAAACCAGGTGCGAGCCCTGGGCGAAGCACTGTCATTGAAAAATAAAACGGCTCCTCGGCAGGGGGGATCAACTGTAATTATCATTTCAAACTGAAAATTCAAAACGCACCGCAGAACCCCACTTCAGCCACGCACCCATGGACTGTGAAGGATCGTTCGGCCCCCATCACTCTGATCTTCTTTACTTGAAACAAGAATTTAGCGCAGCCCCTAAAACAAAGGAAGAAAGGACGGATGGACGGGGGAGGGAGAAGGATGCAGCACGAAACAGACTAGCAGGAGGGGGGGCTAGGAAAAGGAAACACGTGGCAGAACCAGTCGTCGTCTTCGATCGTGCTCACTAGGGTGGGTCGTTTTCTTACCTGCAGCGTGTATCTCGTGCACCCCCTAAGCCAGGGGGGAGAGAGAACAGATGGAAGGAAGGGACACGGGGGAGAGAGCAGGATGGAGTTTGAGAGAGAGAGAGGGAGAGTAGGAGGAGGGGGGCTAGAAGCAGAAAGCAAGTGGCAGAAACAGACGGGCAGATCGGGCGGGTGGACCCTAACGGGCGGGTCGGAAGGGGGCCCAGGCGGCCAGGTCGAGCAGGCGGGTTGCTGAAGCGCGCGTCCTGCATGAATCGCGAGGAGGTCTCAAGAGAGCGCGAGTCCTAAATGAATCGTGAGAATGGCCAGAGCGAGCGCGTGATTCCTGAGTGTCGAGGGCGCGGCGTCCAAAGAAGTTGTGGGGAGGTCCCGCGCGAGAGCGCGACTATGTAATCCGCCGACCTTGTCGGCGTTTTGTTTTGTAAACGCTGTTCTGTTTGACTCGACGTCGTCGTCGTCGTCGTCCTTGTCGTCGACGCCGTCGCGTTTGATGCCCCTTTTTCCAGGCCCGTCGCCGCTCCCCCCTCTTTCACTGGGCCCTCCTCCTCAACCGAGCCAGCCAAAGCGCAAGCAACGTCGACGTCGCAGCTGAGTCGAAGGGAAGCCCCTTACCTTTGATCAGTTCCGCCCGGGAGGGAGGTGGGGGCGGGTCCTGGGGGGGTCCTGGGGGGGGTCCCGGGGCGATCGGTTGTTACTGTGGCCCGTTGGGTGTTAGTGTGGCCCGGTGGGTGTTAGTGTGGCCCGTCGCGCGGCCAGATCGGAGTTACTGTGGCCCGCGCTGGCCGTTCAATGAAGAGTAGTCTGTAAAGGTATCTCATGCTAGATCTGGAGAGATTCGCAACCCTCCACGGAATGCATTCCCGCGCAAGCAAAAGTGGCCACAGTACCTCCCACCTGAAACCGACGTAGCAATTATAGTAATGGTAATAGTACTAGGTGGTAGCAGTAGCAGTTGTAGTAGTAGAAGTAGTAGTAGTAGTAGAAGTAGAAGTAGTAGTAATAGTAGTAGTAGTAGTAGTAGTAGTAGTAGTAGTAGTAATTGTAGTAGTAGTAGTAGTAGTAGTAGTAGTAGTAGTAGTAGTAGTAGTAGTAAGAGTAGTAGTAGTAGTAGTAGTAGTAGTAGTAGTTGCAGTAATGGTAGCGGTAGTAGTAGTCGTCGTCGTCGTAGTAGTAGCAGTAGTAGTAGTAGTAGTAGTAGTAATAGTCGTAGTAGTAGTCGTAGTAGTAGTAGTAGTGGTGGCAGCAGTAGTAGTAGTAGTAGTAGTAGTAGTAGTAGTAGTTAGTAGTAGTAGTAGTAGTAGTAGTAGTAGTAGTAGTAGTAGTAGTAGTAGTAGTAGTAGTAGTAGTAGTAGTAGTAGTCGTAGTAGTAGTCGTAGTAGTAGTAGTAGTAGTAGTAGTAGTAGTAGTAGTAGTAGTAGTAGTAGTAGTAGTAGTATGTCGTCGTCGTCGTAGTAGCAGTAGTAGTAGTAAGTAGCAGTAGTAGTAGCAGTAGTTGTTGTGATAATTGTAGTATTCGTAGTTAGTGAAAGCAGTAGCTGTAGTAGTAGTAGTAGTCGAAATAATAGGAATTGTCGCAGTAGTTCTAGTAGTAGTAGTAGGAGTTGTAGTAATAGTTGCTGTAGTAGTAGTCGTCGTCGTCGTAGTAGTAGTAGCAGTAGTACTGCTACGACAACTACTTCTAACACTACTCCTACTACTACTACTACTACTACTACTACAACTACTACTACTACTACGACTATTACTACTACTACTGCTACTGCTACTGACACCACCACCACCACCACCACCACCACCACCACCACTACTACTACTACTACTACTACGACGACGACGCGACGACGACGACGACTACTACTACTACTACTTTTACTTTTAGGAGATCTACTACTATACTACTATAACTACTACTGACTACTACTAACTACTACTACTCACTACGGCTACTGCACCTCTACTACGACTACTACGACTACTACTAATACTACTACTACTACTACTACGACTAATACACTACTACCACTACTACTACTACTACTACTACTACTATACTAATACTACGACTACTACTACTACTACTACTACTACTACTACTACTACTACTACGACTACTACTACTACTACTACTATTACTACTACTACTACTACTACTACTACTACTGCTACTACTACTACTGCTACTACTGCTACTGCTACTGTTACTGCTACTACCACTGCCACTGCTACTGCTACTGCTACTGCTACTGCTGCTACTACTACTACTACTACTACTACGACTACTACTACTACTA